CTCCGCCCTTATGGAATAATCAATGCTAATTAGAATTTATATCTCTTTGATAACCGACTTAAGCTATAGTATGTTTTCATTTTCAAGTAACTAGTATAGAATATTTTATTTTCCGCTTATATTTTTATTGGCGATTTTAGTATCGGTGCGACTTTTTTTTAACTCATTGAAAAACGCTTATTAAATTAATTTCATTTGTTTTTGGGTTGATGCAATAATGTTTCTCGTGATGTACAAAACTGTTCCTTAGGGATGTTGATAAGTTATCGATGATTATTAACGTGAGTTTCCACTGTTGAAACATTTGTAAAACACCCAACAGAGATATGTTTTTTATGTGTGAAAATCCACGTTTATTGACATTTATTTGCACAAATAGATAGATAAATTATTTGATTAACAAATTATATAATATTCGATATAAATTTGGTTACTAAAATTTAAATATGTCGATATCGATATTGTAATGCTTAATATCGATAGTGGAAACATCCCTATCTATTAGTTGCACCGACATTTAAAAGTTTATCGCCGCTTGTATTGTAGGTTTCGACTGCAGACATTAAGTAACATATGTTGACTTCTCTTAAATTTTCTTTGATTCAATAGAGACAACTATATGTGTATAAATGTAGCTGCAAAAGAAACCAACAGAATTTAAATGTACAAACTACTGCTCCGTTATAGTGATGTATAATTTTCATTTATCGATACTTTGTTTGAATTAAGTCATTAATTTCCTCTGTGATTATATTTGAGATAATTGTAAAACGGAGGCGTGTATTTTGTAATTCACTAACGATAACGCTTTAGTTGGCGTTTTATTATAACAGTGGGTATTTTAGGGCTTGTGTTAGTCGGATATTTAACTTTTTTTGTAAATTGTGGGTGATCAGGGGATGTGAACTGACGTTAAGTTTTATTTCTTTCTATAATCGCGTAGTTTTAACGAGAGCGTTGTAAATAAACATCCAAATATCCCTTTTTTTATTTATTTTTTATTTTTTCACCTCTCCCTTGTCCCGCATTGCCGTATCTGCCCGCGGCCTCGCTTGTGTAGTTTTCTGTGTTTGTGAAAGTGACCGGGCTTACTGATTTACTAAAACACATCGCAGTGATTTTATGTTGATATTTTTTTATTTTTCTACACTATAACCGAAATTTTTTCTGTTAATTTTTTCTCATATCAGTTTGGATAAAATATTTTTTTTTAAATTCAATTTTAACTTTTACTTACATGTTACTTTTAATGTAGCTTAATGATTAAACACTAAGCGTAGGTTTCTTATGCTAAATCCACACTAAGGGATTGCTTTAGTGACTGTGAGTAGTATATCAGTAAGTCCGCGTCTCAAAGTAAACATGAATAGTCAATAGTATGGCGTTCGTCGCCTGAGCTGCTGTCTCGACAATAACCCAGTGTCAGACAATAATGATTCTTATAATTTGCTTCTCAGTAGTCATTTTCGTTCACCTCTCGTAGGCTATAGTTTCTACAATGTACGTTAGTTTCTATGTAATAAAGTACGTACGTTGTTCTAATACCATTGGAATTTAAGGAGGAATTAAATGTCATTTATTACTTCAAAATTAAAAAGTGTGAGAAAAGTTGACGGTCCTCAAGTACGTGCTATTCTTTTATTTCAGGCGCTTGAATTTATTTCCAAATTGTATTAGAGCAACGAAATCTTTAAGGTTAATATGAATTTAAATTATACACCAATATCATTTCTTGATCGAATGCAATATGTAATGTGTGGGTGCACAATGTACTCAACCAGTTTCATATGAAAAAACATTTGTAAAGTTATATAAATGTAGCATACAATAGTGTATATTTAATAGATGTGCTTGAATGTCGGTTGACATAAGTATTTGTTTTTTAATAAACAACTATTAGACATATAATTTCATAAAATCTATTTAATACTTACTGAAAACCTAAAATTCACGCACAATATCAATCTAATCATCTCAATGAATTGTAAAACACGTTTTTTATATTGACTGATAATTACCTTGTCCTAAATGTGCTTAGAAAGCTTTTGTAACGACCACATGTGTAGTAGTTTGTGCACTAAAATGTATTTTATGTAGTACTTTATATGTGGGTATATAGAATATGTAAATTTTAACGTTTGAATGTGCGCACCACGTTTAATATTTAAAAAATAGTGAACAGTGACAGTGAAATTCAAAAAGGGACATAAAAACAGCGGCGCCTGCAGGAATGCTAAAGGCAAAGTTGTGTAACTGAAGTGGGAACAATTGTCGCTCCGTACTTGAAATATCATAGTATTTACTCTACAAGTCTGATCGTACATTTGTAACGTGTCATTATCGGCTGTTAACTTTAGGCTCTATTCTAGTGTAAACTTTTGTAACACTTGACGTTATCTACCTGATAGGTATGTGTGATAATATTAATAAGCTTTCTCAACTAGTTGGAGTACAATTCTAATTAACGTATAGGCCAATGTTTATAAATATTATTTTTACACTGTCTACTAATATTAAATGTGATTTTGTCTGTAGTTGATAATGTCTTAGATAACTGCGCGGTCCAGTTGTTCTGTTCTAATGTAATGCTTTTTTTAACGCTGTCTCTATTTTATTCTCTTCCTACATTTCGTGATAAATTGTCTTGGAGTTTTAACGACGCTATGTCTAAGAGAGTATAATTTTTTATTGCTGTGTCTTTTAATACTACTGTAAATTGTCTTATAAGTATTACAATAAAACCTATGACAAAAAGGGCTGTTTTCACCAAGATAATTTTGCCGTCCATATATCGTACTCTAGGACAACTGGACTGTTATTGAATAATTATATTTATTTTGAATTTTTAAACTACGATTCAGATTTCAACACCAAATTTTAAGAAGTCAGTTTTTAATATTATATAAATGTCTGAAATATTTTATATTTACCTATAGAGCTTATAGATTGTATAGGGCAGTAGTCGTTTTATTAAGTGGAATGAATGTTGCCATTATACAAAAAATTATCCACACATTTGAATGTAATGGCAACATTTACATCACATTTCCCGATAGAATATCAGGGAATTTTTAATGTAGCGTTGCTTTTAATTGAAATACATGTGAAATGATTTATACAAGCTGTGGGTGTAGTTGTATCGCATAGGATTAGATGTTCGTCGATGTTTAATCCGGAGCGGCCGGTGGACGACACGAATACGCGAGTTAAAAGATTTAGACACAATTCACGATATGCATTTTAGAGTTTTTAGTATGTGTGGAATTTTAGTTTATGAATATTAATTTTAGTTTTATTTGAGATAATTGTGTATTGATAACGAATGTATTGTGTATCTAATAAAAACTTTTAGAGTTGTTTTTCTTAATTTTATATTGAAAATGCTTGTGAAAATAATTTATATTCGTTGTCGTCCACCGTCCGTATCTGACATTTGTAACTAGGTTATCATTAATATTTCTATGTGATTTCAATGTCCAGATTAATCGAGATTTGCTGTTTTCTATATATTATAGCGTAAGGTAAGGGATAACCTCGTAGCGTCCAACATGATCCTTGTATTGTGTATTAGAGGCGCGATGTTTACACATTACTGACATTTATGCTAGATTAGTTCGTGCAATGTAGGTTTATGACCAAATTAGTAAGTAATTATATATCTTATAAACACATAACGTTACCTGTACCGCTAATACTAAGCACTGATTGAAATGGGAAACTTAAAGTACAAATTTATCATAACATTTCCCATTCCGGAACGCTTTCGAGCTCTTTCCTTATGTGTATTATATGAGAGAAAGATGTTGCATTGATGTCGTTTTTAAATGTTTCAAATTTAAATAAATGTTGAATTAGATAATTCGTAATATTTCTGAATTGGTCGTTTTGCATCGTTCGGTTTATACTATAGATTATAATTAAATAAATGTCTTTTAAAAAAAATTTAAACAAATAACCTCACGTTCAGTAATTTTGTAATCACATGTGTGTTAGATTCGTGGTAGTATAGCTGACGGTGACAGGATCACGTTTTCGAATTAATTCGTAATTTTATAAAAAAATCGATGTGCCTAAGTGTAATACTCTAATCGTTGTAAATGTATGTAAATGTATAGTTATATTAAATGTCTCAAGTTCGGTTGGAGCACAACGGCGGCTATAGCTCGTGTAAAGTTTATCTATTTAGCAGTTTTATTGTATTGTGGTGGTAAAATCGTTTTTTGAGACAATAACTTCTTAAATTGCATATGTGCAGTTTTTAATTTCTCTTCTATAACTTATCTACGTAAATAATTGTATTATTACTCATTGCTGTGGTTTATTATGCGAATTATTATGACATTTTTGTGAATTAAAAAATTTGTCACTTTTCAAACTAGCGTTGTACTGATTAGCTACGATTTTTTCTATGGAAAATTATTTTTTTTACAGTTTTCACGTGAAATTTTATTGTGAACACGTAGTAAATGTATTGATGTCAAACACTAGCTAATTAGAATATGAAAATTTTCCGTAGCACGTCAGACTGCTTTTAATTGAAAAATTTAGAGTTTTCATTTTCTTTGTGTAACAAATCTATATGTATTCGAATTTTAGATACTAGCGCCACCGCTGCGTTGCGGTGCTTCTGTGTACTTACATTTATTGGGTATATTATATTTGCATGTAAATCATCAATTTTCGACGAGTATGACTATATGATGGGTAAACGGGTAGATGTGTAGACTTGATTGTGATATCAATAAACATTTTCATACGAGCATCCAAATGTTGTTTCATTTTACATATTTTAGGGCCTGTCCCGCCAAATTTTAAATTGTCTAATAACAATGCAATGTGTAAAATATGTGATGGAAAGTGACGTCATTTTTAAATTAACTGATTCTCTAGCAACCAGTGGTGGGACCGGGCTCTTAATCTATTATTTGACTTTGGTTTCCTAGAATATTGTACATATATCTACTTGATTTTCAGGGATTTATAAAAATAAAACACATAAATAGTATGAAGTAAGCTTTTTTTAACTAGTAAACTTTTTATACATTATACAAATTATAAATACACAATAAGACTCGATACACAATAAAACATATTAGAACATTGGCCGAAGTATGTACAAAGGTTCGGATGTTCGCGCCCAAAGGCAATGCTGCCTCGCGACTGCCGGCTGCCGTCGGTTTACACTGGCGAGACATTCGTTAACTTGTTAACTTATTGTACGAATCTTTAGACAGTGGAAACGAACGGTTATTTGGCACTACATTTATATACAACGTACACTGAAGACTACGGACCACATCTTTTTATATTATTTCTATGACGCCAGTGTTATTTCGCATTTATTAAAGGAAATTACTTTTAAATTAGAAATAACGGTAAATGAAAATATTTGTACTTTCTATAAAATGTTAATTGTTTTATGCATTAAAACAACATTTCAATAAATTAATTACAAAGTGATTATGTAATTACAGTTGTGGCGACAGTGATATTCTGTTACAATAAAACAAATAAAATAATTGATACAAATAGTGTTGTTAAATTAGTTTTGCAGTAATTTAAATAACCTGTTCGTTTTATTGAAATTGTGGCATTTTTGACATGATATTGAAATGGCGATAGTCCGCAGTGTTCGTTGTTTTTTTGCCTCAGAAGCTTATATTTATTTTTTTGTTTGTATCCCTTACAAAGTGCAGTCGACGCACTTACTAACAATAAATACACTGGTGTTGCCATATTTACAGTGCCGTCAGCGCCCTCTGTACACGCATTACTCTATGTTTAAATAATTTGATGTATTAAATTGTTTCTCATTGCCTCAACAGGGATACAGTTTTCTTCGCTACCATTTTGTAGCATATTTAAATAATGACATTTGCGTACAGTTAAATTATCTTCTGAGATCATATTTAATACATCACAGGTGTTAACAGAAATAAATTAAGATCGTGACGTAATCAGTGAGCTGAACATCGAGTGTTGCCATCCCCAATTAATCTAACTTAAAAATCTTACACTTATATGACATTATTCTTTGTTTTTAATATATTTAAACACGATCGAACATAGCAACCCCGTTGAAAACTTACGATCGATATTGTGATGAAAATCCGACTTTAATAAGCTTATTTGCTCAGATATTTTTCAAAACAATCTAAATGTCGCCTCGAAAACAAAGGTTATATATTGTTATTTTTAGAATAAAAATTCGTCAAAAACGATTATAAAGGTTTTAGACGATTATTTATAATACACTAACATTTTATAATAAAATTAGTTGGTAGTTTAGTTAAATAGTGTAACATACGTATATTATTTTTTTATAAAAACATCTATTCCATGTCTGTAAACAATAGCGACATCTGTCTGCGAGGCGACACAAACACATTTTATAAATTTCACAAACTTCAAAAAACTTCTTACAAACAAACTTAATCAATTAGAACGATTACAAAGGTAAAAATGTCTATAACAGGCGTTTTATAAATATTTTAATTTTGTTATCGTCAAATAGTCAAAATAAGAAATTCATTAGAAAACATTTCATTACGACCGAGGCCTTGTCAAGTTAACTCTTAACTTTGGTTTAACTGCGACAAATTTAACTCGCTCCAAACACATTTAAGACTAAACCGAATGAATTCAAATGATGATAATGATTGTCTTTTAAAACGTAGGCCGCGACTCTCCTAACTAAAACTGAAATGATATAATTTGTACTGAAACAGAGCCGCGGCCACACGACGCCATCTAGCGCCGGCAAACGCCATTCGTAAAACTATCCTGGTAAAATAAGATATTTGTAAGAACAAAAACAAATTCTTTATAGAATATCCATCAAAATGCAACAATAAAACGAATTAACCTGTGAAAGGCTACACTAAATGTTTCTAAACACAAATACTCAATTATCCGTTTAAATAAAATTTTGTTTTTTTAACTTATTAAATATTATTGGCAAAAATAAAATCAAATTTTGTTGCGTACAACAAAATTACCATTTTGAGTATTTGTATTTTACTACTCTATATCGTTTCCGTTGTTCTTCGTGTCCCCCCATGCGCCTGCGCACTAGGGGGACGCAAAAAGCCCGCAACAAACACACGTCGAAAATATTCTAACGCATTTCGACTGAAATCTAATTCCCGCCAACGTTATAACATTTTCAAAGTGAAACATTTATTACGTTACTTGCACTCATCAGAAATAAATCCAAACCTTAAAATATACTCCATTCTAGCCGTAAACTTAGCACTTAATCTATTATAACTTAATTAATATGTCAAAGAGATCATAATAAACTTAAAACTACGTCGCACTTCCATATTGCATGTGGTTTTGTGAGAAAAATTGCCTATTTGACTGCATTCTACTAGTAACAATTGTATTAACATATATTGTTCTCTTTCTTTTTCCTAAAGAATAAGAGAAGACAGTATATTTTAACAAATTGTTCGACAGTAAAAACGTACAGTAACGGATACAAGTTTTGAGATAATATTCCGTTGAGCGTTGAATTTAGTGTTGTACCGAGTGAAACTATAGAGAAATTAAATGAATCCTAAAGTATAATGGTTGAAGTTATCTTACAAATAACTTAAATATATCGCCGGAACACGTAACGTCTGGCATAGAATAAATAGATATAAAATAATGCACACTGCTTGTCACCCGGGTTGAGTTAGTCTTACACGGGTTAACATTGCACGTGGATTGCAGTTGCCGAGGCCCCGGCTACGGGAGGGGCCTAGCTGGACCGTTTGAAGTGCGTCTGGTTGAGCCGGGCGACCTTGGGAGGGCGTATATGTGCCCCGTGTCCGCACTCATGTTTGTGCACTGAAGGGGATTTCTTGCCATTGCTTGCTGTCCTCTTTCGGGGCTTCAGGAAATCTGGAAAGAGACAAAAGGTCATAAGAACAATGGTAATTATAACTCTGGGTTAGGGTGCGTTGCCCTAAGGATATTAAAGATGTCGTAAAAGTAGGAGGCGTCAACCTATTCGTTAAGACAGTTGTGGGGTACGCAGTAAGGCGATTTGTCCCGACAGTTTTACGATTCCTTCCAAAAGAATAGCGACATAAAAAGTACCCTCAAATGTTAGGGTGACCATTACACGAATTAATAAAAACTGCACTTAATTTTACTAAGTATAGTAGACAGATGGATTAAACGAAGTTATAGATAATTAACTTTTCATCTTATCAATGGTAAGTAAAATTTAATAATGTCTTATTATAATTTTGTTTCTAATACATTACAAAGGGCAACATCCTACCATAAATATAAAAATGGCCACCCTATCTCTGACTTATTTTGTACCGAAATCCTTTTAAAATTGGTCGCAAGCGGCGGGCCCTTTGTAGTCCTTTTTGAATTTGAAAAAAGTCTATGACCTTAATAAGTATAAAAGTTTTACGAGTTTTTTACTACTGTTTAATCTGCGTTGTAATGGCTGAAGGCTGTGATACTGCAAAGGGGACACACTGGGTACGCTTTACGGACAATTCACAGAACATTTAGATAAACACTAGCTTTCGCCCGCGGCCTCGTCCTCGAGGAATTAAATGAAATCAAAAAAAGGTCTATGTTTTCTTCCAGACTATCCTCCACGTCTAACAAATTTCATCGAGATCCGTTCAGCAGTTTAGGCTACAAAGTCTAACAAACATCCATTCATCTAAACTTTCGCATTTATAATAGTAATAAGATTACATCTAATAAATTTAGAATATGAAACTAACATAAGAGGTTGAATTATAAAGAAATAATAGATAAGGATGACTGACGGTCGTCTCCCGTCTGAGTAACGACATGGCAACACGCTCAAGGCCACGTTTCGCGCCTTACCACTATATTAATATAACTCGACTGTTTTAAATTAACATTTGAAACGTAATTATTTAAGTCAGTATAACGTTATTTTTGCCGCAGATCTGTCTTGAAGTCTCCCTAAGTATAGATTTCTTACTCTCTTAATGACCAATTAAAGACCCCTAAGAACTTAGTATGACAATAATTGAAAACAACAATTAGATTCATTTTGTAATAGTATGGCACAAACATTTACAAATTCTTACGTAAAAAGATTAAATCAATTTGTAATAGAAAAGGCGCCAAAGTTTTTTTCAATAAAAAGCGCGCGATCTTTTAAGATTGTTTGGTAAAGCGTCCCCACAGATAATATCGATCTGAGACAGTGCGAAATAAACTTAAAAAGGCCAATCCGATGTGTCTGCAGTAAGAACTATGTCAGTGACGTCGCAAGGCCCAAGGTCGACCGGACCACGCCGATCTCGGTTCCCGCCAAATCAAACCACGTGGATACTGGCCAGCTATTTTTGTCAACTACATAACAAGATAATAAATTCTAAATGGATTACAAAAAAAACGAGTTAATTTCTGTCACAAAAATATGTTATCTAAGAAGGAAGATATCTCGAAATAGTAAAGGAAAAAAACGAATTGATAGAAATTCAAATGTGTTATGTAAGTAAAAACATGCTTGAAATCTAACCTCTAAAATTTTTTTTAGATAATTATTTCGATTTCATTACATTTTGCTATAATTAATCTACTCGTAGATACTGAAATCCGGAGAAAATACTTTCATTCGATTACGCAATAGTTTGCCGCCAAACGTTCAATGAAGCGTTTCCCGCCATTTCGCGTTAGCTATTACACGACTGAATTCGAAAGAGTATTACATCGCCTACAATATGATCAATGTACGACATCTTTATTTTAGCCGGGTTATACGGTTGGACTGAAGTAAACATGCGGGTGTGCGTAAACAAAATGGCCTTGGTGGATCAGCGCGTGCGCCTAGCGATGATTTTGTACAAACAACTCACACACGCGTACAACACTCGTAACTCGGAGATTATTAATCTTTTATCGTATTTAGGCTGAAAAGAAAATAATACAAGACAGAAGCGGCGCGAAAAAAACTAAAATATAACCTGCAAACTGATCCTAGAGTGCGATTTAAAAACTCGAGAGATTTAATACACAAATTGCTATTTAAATTTGCAGAATTATTCAATAACATTTTTTCATTTGATTCAGTGGTAAGTGTTGCCAACAAGGTGCTTCAATCGAGTGGTCCAATGGCCGGTTTTATTGAACGCGAGAGGAGAGCCGTGGTTATTTTGGTCGACCTAAATATCTGCGGGCGAACGACGCCCTCTCTTTCGTACCACTTGTTTACCAGCGTACAGAACAATTTGCTACAATTTGCGGTCCCTACTCACCGTATGTCATTGCGATCATGCGTGTAACTTTGAACAAGTGAATATTTTCATGTCTGTTTTACTTTTTTAAATACACAAAACATATTTTTATAGTATGTTTCGAGCATTGTTGACAACTCTGTCAGTATATTATGTTGGCAACATTTCTAAAACTAAATATATAACGAATTCAACGCACGAATTCAATATACATCCGTCTCTCGTCCTTCCATTACACGAACGGAATCCTTGAGTGGGAAAAATAAAAGCAAAACTAGAAACATGAAGGTTCTCGTGAGGTTTTTTGAGTCACGCTTTACGAAGCGAGGGCGTGAATGTAGAAGTAATTTTAAGGGTTGTTTTGTCACTACCCTTTGTTATTAGCCGCTTATAATGACGATACACGACAAAAATGAAGTAATGACGTGACAGAAATATTGTGAACAGAATATTTTCTATACTTTTTATTTTCTTGTTGAGTTTTCGAAAGCAACCATGACAGATATGTAAAGTTTTGTACGCCAATTATGAGTAAAATATAAGTATACAATAATATCTACTACATTAAAAAACCAGGAAGGATTAAAAAATATTACTTTGAAAGTAAATTCCATTTCAAAGAACTTTAAGAAACGTATTCTTGTACTGAAGCTCTGTAACAAAGAACGCTTAAGACAGATGTTGCGAAATGCAAGTATTGTGGAAAAAAATCGCATAACATTGGTTGTGGCTTTAAAAATAAAAAACAATTTGCTAAAGAACCAACTTTTCAATGTTAACAAACCCGTGACGAATCGTGACGTCGGTAAACAATTTGAGAACAGGAGAGAAACTTGTAGGCGGGCGTAAAATTGTGAATGTAAACTCACCAGCAGACAGAACCCACGCAATAGCGGTTTCACATTGAATTTGCGACGTGTAAGCTTTTTTGAAAGTAGATTGCATAACACTAGACAGGGGTTGTAAACATTTTTTTAATATAACTTTTATTACTTCCACTTTGATATACCACAGACACATGCTACATGACCAATCACAAGTTATAGTTAATTAAATGATAATAAATGCATTTTTTCCTGATAAATGTGGATTTAAAATGTTGGTAATCCCTGCCACTTGTATTGACAAATGTGACTCATTTCTTCATTGTGGTAAAACTCGTATGACGTGTGCCATTTGTCGGGTCACACCGAAACACGTCTAAACCTGATCGGGCATGGTCGCTACGAGCTTAGTATGATTGTATGGGGGGGAGGGGGGGGGGTTAAGAAAAACTGGCGCTGATTTGTGAGGCGTAGGCGGCGTCCAAACAGGTTGCCTCGGAGCCCTAGCGCGATGCTTTTTATTTTATTTATATTCCAGGGCTGCTATAATTGGGTGAACGGTGCTACAGCTGTCATATCTTGTACAATTTGTTTACTGAGAATGTGCCACGGACGTGTCATACATCATTACATGTTTTTTTTTCTTACGCTATGTAATTTACCCGATATAGAATACGACAAAAAACTTGTAATATACAAGCTTAGTGTGTCAATGATGTTGGAAGATATTGCATACTATTGTACTCAAATATTTGATAGGAAACGTCAATTACAATACGTATAAGATCTGTAGGGAATGCAAGCTCGCATTGTGATTACGAACCAGTTCCCAAATATCCAGGTCAAGTGAAAGGCGAGTTGATGTCAAAACGACGGTCGCGGATACGGTGCGTGCTGAGGCCAGGCAAACGCCAACGCCTCCATTCATAGCTCACAAACTGTTTATGTTCTACTGAACTAAGTTTATATACCACGGCATAATATGTGTCATGTTTACTAACTTTCGATTATCATATTAACTACTACATGTTGCTCTCGACTTCGCCCGCATGAATTGAAAAAATATTGTCTATGTTACTCATAAACAAATTACATTTCTAACGGTGAAAGAATTTTTAAAATCTTTATAATATTAATATAGAAAATGTATGAACCCAATCATAATAAAAAAATATTTGTCATATGGTCAGTATCTTTTACGAAAATTATTGTGAAAAATACGCAGTTGACAACCCTAGTCTAGTGCAACTGGACGATAAAGATAAAAAAAAGTAACAAAAAGGTCGCACCGTACGTAGCTACGTATAGTGCCGGCTACTGGTTTTTAGTGGAAGCCTAAACAAATAAGTGACACGGCACCAGGTAACTTTGTATCCCCTTTAACATTTGTTAAATATTATCTTGATATACTTTATCGCTCATAGACCCGCGCTTTACTTTTAATGTTAATGTACCGTTATTTAGTGTTTGTTTTGAATTAATAAACTTGTCATATTAATCGGAGTTGCGAAAATTTTTTTACAATTAAACAATTTATTGGTTAAAAAAAAGTTTGAATACTACTTTTCTCGAATGACATTTTAATTTAAAACAAGCTGTTCCCGTCCGAAATTATAAAAACTTTATTTCATTGTTTACAATTTCAATTGCATGGGTCAAAATTACCGTTACCATAAATAACCTTGCTTCCTTAATGTTAGCTTCTTGTAGTTTATGGCCCCTTCCCCACATCAATTTTTTTTTCTCAATTGATTTACATTAATTGAGAAAAAAAAATTGATTGAATGAAATGAAAATTGAAAAATTGATTGATGAATTATAAAATATATAACCTAAG